TTTCCTCAAAACTGATTTCTCTCATTAATACTTCAGCCACTTCCACAAAACAAGGCTCCCCAAAACATGGGTTCTTCAAAACAAGGCTTTTGACTTTTATAAAAAAAATAAAATAACAACTCGGGTTTCCAGTCAAAACCCGCCTAACCGAGCGATTAAAAATTTAATCCGCTAGTTCAAATCGAGCTGGTATCGATCGACACCCGAACCAAAAATACATAATTGGTTCGCGGTCGTTACAGATCTCATCTTTTGACATCGGTTAATTGAACTCCCAACCTCAACTTCATTCAAATTTAAGTCTCAAACACGCTAAATTATTATTGATTTAGACCTTGACGAGGTCAACGTTGGTCAACGTCAACGGAACGGTTACGGGACGTTACGCAGACAAACGGATCAGTTTTGTTTGTGCAAAACGACGTCGTTTTATACACCTAACCAAAACAACGTCATTTTGATTTGGGGAAAAAAAATTTCAAATCCCTAATTCCTTCGATTTTTAACCCTAAACATTCTAAATTGAAACACAAAATGTATAGAAATTTCCAAATTAAAATTTCTTGAGAGTATACTAAACAGACACAATGAGATTTGAGATCAATGGATCACCTGTGTCCCAAATCGCAAGCTTCAGTTTCTTGTCACCGATGGTAAGGTACTTGACCTTAAAATCCACACCTAAAAGAACAGATCCAACATAACCCGATCAAAACAAAAACGGAGAATCAACGAATCGACACCAAAGCTTGAACAATTAAAACTCACCGATTGTAGGAGAAAGATCATCAAACGTATTAGAAGTGAAACTCAACAAGAGAGAGCTCTTGCCAACACGAGAATCTCCGATCAACAAAATTTTGAACAAGTAATTGAATTCGAGTTGCCCAGAGGAAGAACCCATCGAAATGGAAACTTTTATTCTTCTCTTAGCGGATGACCACAATTTTCTGGGAAGAAACAACAATTGGGAATTGTAGGAATCAAAAACAGAAACTTTCGGAATAAGAAATTGAGTAAAAGGATCGTTAAATTCACGGAAAAACGGTATTTTGCTACAATCATAGGAATTAGGGATTTGAATTTTTTTTTCCCAAAATCAAAACGACGTCATTTTGGTTAGGTGTATAAAACAACGTCGTTTTGCACAAACAAAACCGATCTGTTTGTCTACGTAACGTCCCGTAACCGTTCCGTTGACGTTGACCAACGTTGACCTCGTCAAGGTCTAAATCAATAATAATTTAGCGTGTTTGAGACTTAAATTTGAATGAAATTGAGGTTGGGACTAATAATTATTATTGAAATTGGGGTAATAATTAGTTTGGGCTAATTATAGTTAAGGATTAATGAGCTAAATTAGAGAGAATGTCATATCATATTTTTGACAATGCCATATCACATTAAAATTGGAAGAATAATTTTGGTGAAGACACATAATTTTTTTTCAAAAAATTACTCTCCAATTAATATATAAGAGATACCAAATGTATGTGATATTAAATACACAAATAATCAATAAATTAGAATTTATTGCATATTACATATTAATTTTCAAATACACACAAAGTTTGGGCAATCCCTAATAAGGGAAAAAATTTCTTTCGGTAAGATGAAGAAATAAATATGAACTTCTAGTTTAGTTGACCAAAAGAAGATATGATATTTTGTACACGGAATATCATTTGTTTTGAAATAGTGATTTAGGGCTTGTGGTTTGTGTATTTAAGTCGAGTTTAATAACTTTACAAATTTTGACAAAAAAAACAAAAATTTAAAAATTAAAGAATTTGCTGGATTTTAAAAGAGTTTCATATTTTCCTAGAAAAATTCAACGAGTTCTTAAGATTGTTAGAATCTTTATGCACATCAATTACAATAGCATTATAGATCTCGAATCCACGAACTTGTAACACAAAATCTAGGTTTTTGATTTTCGAATTGATATTACGGATGAAATTAACTAAGTAAAACAATGAAAATTCATTTAACATTTATTTCAAAAAAAAAAATGAAAATTCAATGGGAGAAAACCTTAGACAATTGGTTAATCGCAAATTTTCATAAATTACCAATAGGATTTTAAGATTTAAGAGGAACTGTTTAGAATTCAAATCACAAAAACCGTGACTAGAGATTGTAAGAATGCAGACGAAAAGAAAAAAAAAACAATAATGTTTATATTTATAATATATATAATATAAAATATTAAGTTATAAATAATTTATTTTTAATAAAAATGAATACATGCTTTCGTGAGAAATATAAAAAATAAATATCATACTATTTAATATTAAAATGTCTTGTTTAAATATAAAAAATTATGTATTTTAAAAATGAGTTTTTCATGGTTTTGCTCCTCTTGATTACAAACTGGATCTTGAGAGTATTTGATCATTTTATTTCCTTTAAATGGAAATACGAAGAAGATAGGGGGGTGTGATTAGTTGGGCTCTAGAAAGTAGTTACAGCTTTAATTTCGTTTTACAACCATAAAAGTTACCAATCAGTCTTTAGATTAATATCAAAAGCTTAAGTCCAAAAAAATCAAGAGGCTGTAACTGCTATATATGCTATAGTCATATTTTGGTTGTAGGAAAAAAAAAAAGAAAAATTTGCTAAATTATCACCATTTGAATTTCATTTTGTCCCAATACATCTTCTACCACTTGAGACAGTCTCTCATTTGAGATACCCATGAGAGACTCACTCTTCTAATAAACTTGACACTTGTCAATTTATAATTGGTTCTCATTTTTTTTTCATAAATCATATTTTTATAGTTTAGAATATTAATTAAAAAATTTATATGTTGTTCTTTTTTTATTTTTTTAATAAATCATAAAATAAAATTATCTATATATCAAGCTCTATTATGCATAAATATTAATTATATATTAACATTATTACTAACTGATATTATTTAAAGTTAATACGAAATATTAAATTAATATTTTTGGTTTATAAAATAATATATTATCGAAATGAGATATTAAAATATTTAATATAATTTTTGATTGATTTTACATAAGACTAACACAAATATAACTTAATATTGTTTTAGACTTTAGTTAATACAATGTTACAATATCTAATAAAAGCTTGGATTTTTAAAACTAAATATTTTAATATAATATGTTGAAATAATTTATTAAAATTTATCATAAAATCTTAAGTTAATAATATTAAAAAATTAATATTTTATTGATGGAATACTCATTTAACATTTAACCAATGGAGGTGATATTAAATAGCGAGTCTCTCAATTTAAAATATTATAAAAATATTAGTATTATAAGAGTGATGCTCTTGTTTGTAACGTTAAAAGGTAGCACATAAAGGTATTTCAAGTTCTGTCACTTTTACCGCACGAGCTTTTGGCTTCCCTTCTTCATGATATGTTAGTTTAGTAGAAACAAAATACTTACCGGTGATGTTTTAATTACTGTGCCACTAGTTAGAATCTTGTCTACATATCTTTTTATCGTTCATCCTGACAAATGTAAGAATCCACAAAGAAAAAGGCTTTTGAGGTTAATATTTTTTCTTCAATATCTTTACATATCCAGTTGTTTTGTGTGATTCACCTTATGGGCGTTGCATCAAGCAAGAATGATTGCTCCTTCATATAAGAATTGATTTCTCATGTTTTTTGAGGTTTTGAAAAAAGCGTAACAACTACTGTTAAATGACTAAGAAAGATAAAACAAACTTAAATTGCGTCAAAAACCTTAAATACCATTAAAAACAAGTTTTTGTAAGGGAAATAGTCCATTAAGTTTGCAAGTTTAAGCCACATAGATCGGCGCAGTCAAGGCACAAGGCTGTGCCTTTATCCAAGATCTTCGGTTTCGATTTGGCTAATTGATTCGTTTCTTGTGCATCCGCCTGAGCCCAAAAATGAGTTTGTAATAGTTTGAGCAGTTTGACAGGTTAACATCGTTTGGTCTTCGAGAAAGTTGTAGGCGCAGAGATGGTTGGTCCGGTCGCCGTGTATCCGTTGCTCGCGGAAATTTCGAAGGTGCCTTCTTTGCGAGTCCTTTATGGCGCAGAGATGGTTGGTTCGGTCGTCGTTCGGTCGCCGTGTATCCGTTAACATCGTAATGAGCGTAAAGAAAGTTATTTGTTGTTTGTTTGTAGTCTAGTACACGAGCATTTTCTTGCCATTCGTTGTGTTTTGCATTTTCTTGTTGTTGTTTAGAGTTTTTTCAGTTTTTCCGCTTCTGCTATTAGTTTTCTCTGTAATTTCTGTCAGAAACAAAAATCCGGTAATATTAACATGTTTACCAAAAGAAAAAAAAAAAGGTTTTAGCCACATTTTAAGTGATAAAGGCAAGTGAAAAGGGAAAATAATCTCCCGCGCGTGCCATTCTGAAATTGGCGCCAAAATCGAGTGAAAGACTGAAATGCCCGAATGAATCAGATCTACGACTACGAGGCGAGAAAATAAACCCTAGCACGAACCAGAAAAACCATTCCGATGAAGTCACGATCGCTAAAGCTCCGAGAAGCCCATAAAGTCGGCGGAAGCGCGGCCTCGTTCTGCTCTATCCTTTGGGACCACAAGGCGGAACACTTTGTCACTTCATCTTCGTCGGATCCATCCATTTCCGTCCACGATGGACTGTCGCCGTCCACTTTGCCCCCGACGATTCTTCGACATCACCAAGACGGCGTCACCGCCCTGGGTCTTAGCCACGACTCTTCTTTCCTCGCCTCCGGATCTATCGATCATTGCGTTAAGCTCTACAAGTTCCCAAGTATCATTCAATCCCTTTGGCCGAATCTTAGCGACATTTGTTGCTTCTTCTGATAGCTTCCCTTTTGTTTTGCTTCAGGTGGTGAATTTCAGACGAACATAACCAGATTCACGCTTCCGATACGCGCGCTTGCGTTTAATGGCTCAGGCAGTCTATTGGCAGCTGCTGGAGACGATGAAGGAATCAAACTTATCAACACGATTGATGGCTCCATTGTTAGAGTACTAAAGGGGCATAAAGGACCTGTCACTGGCTTAGATTTCCACCCTAATGGTGAGCTACTAGCTTCGCTTGACTCCACTGGAACTGTCTTATGCTGGGAACTTCAAAACGGAATTCTTTCCTATACCCTTAAGGGTGTTGCGCCCTACACAGGTTTCAGCACTTCCATTGTCAATGTTCTTAGATGGAGCCCCGACGGGCGAACCCTTGCCGTGCCTGGTTTGAGAAACGACGTGGTCATGTATGATAGGTTTACTGGGGAGAAGCTTTTTGCACTAAGAGGTGACCATATCGAGGCTATATGTTATTTAACTTGGTCTCCTAATGGGAAGTATGTAGCTACATCCGGTCTGGATAAACAAGTGCTGCTCTGGGATATTGATAAGAAGCAGGACATAGATAGGCAAAAATTCGAGGAGAGAATATGTTGTATGGCGTGGAAACCGAATGGTAATGCTTTATCAGTCATTGATGTCAGGGGAAGATACGGAATTTGGGAATCTTTGGTTCCATCATCCATGGTGTCTCCTACAGTGGGTATTCCAGACATACTACCAAAGAGGAGGAACGAGATTCTTGTTTTTGACCAAGAAATTGAGGAAGAATCTGAAAGTTTAAATGATGCTCAGTTAGATAGTGGTGATGGAGAATCTCATCAACCTAGGAGGAAAAGATTAAGGAGAAAAAACATTACTGATGATGATGGTGATGCCAATGAGGAATTCTATGATGGGTGTAGCTTACCCTCGGCATCTGGCTACAGGAAACTAGCACATAAAGAGAAACAGGGAGTGGGAAGTGGGATTGCAAAGGGCATTGCAGGATCAACCAAGCACAAAATGCAAAAACCTTTCCAACCTGGTGCATCACCACCAGAACCAGGAAAAAGGACATTTTTGTGTTACAATATGTTGGGATGCATAACGACAGTTGAACACGAGGGGAACTCCCGTATTGAGGTGCTTGAGGCTTATATTTGTTTATCTTTTAATATTTATATCTTCCTTTTAAAGGTCATACACTTGTTTCTTTTGTGTAATTTTGGATTTTTTGTCGTTGTCACTCTAAATGCAGACAGATTTTCATGATACTGGAAGAGGTCCACAAGTTTCATCAATGATCGACATCTACGGCTTTACTATGGCATCAATAAATGAAAATGGATGTGTCTTTGCAAATCCCTGTAAGGGAGAAAAGAACATGAGTGTTCTGATGTATCGACCATTTAATACCTGGGACAGTAATAGTGAGGTTAGAGGATTATCACTTGCACAATATTCATTAGAAATTACGATCCAGGATAGAAAATAAATGGCTTGCTTACTTTTTGATTGAAACATCAAGTGGACGATGAGGTTTGAAGGCGAAGAGGTGAAGGTTGTCGCTAACGGTTCTGGTTGGGTTGCTGCGGTTACAAGCCTCAATTTGCTTCACATATTTAGCGAGGGTGGTTTACAGGTATCTTATTTTGCATTCTATTCTTTATCATTACACATAATTTATGCAAGCTGATTGATTGATTATAGTTTACCATAAAGTGTTGTATTGATTTTTCTTCTGTCGAACTTGCTGTTGCGTATTATGTCCCCTGTTTGTCTCTCTTATTGTAGTATTGTCAGATGAAAAAGGCTCTTTTTATTAGCTTAAAGGAACTATTTGTTTCGTTGTATAGTTACTGTGAGAAACTTGCAGCTCTCATAAAACACCGAACTAACTTAAAATAGAACGCTAATGAAAGACAGAATTTTACAGAAAAATACGAATATCTAGTCAGTGTATTTTGACTTAGACAGATATTGGCTAATTAATACCCCAGTATTAAAACTACTTTGTTTATTTGATCTGATAGATTCTGGTCATTTCTTGCAGAAACATATTCTTTCCATTGATGGTCCCGTAGTCACTGCAGTAGGATGCAAGGATCAACTTGCTGTGGTAACTCATGTATCTGACTGCCTTCCTTCAAATGAACAGGTAGACATCCTTTTCCACCTTGTTTTTTCTGGATATAGTTTCCTCATTGATCAATCTTGGAGTCACATGGCACTCTCTAAGATATTAAATAGCGTGAGAGGGCATTGTCATTTATGTGTGGATACCGATACAACACTTCTGAAGCTATCTGATGGCTCCAACGAAGAAAAGTGATACATACATTGGGAGAATGAAGCATTCAATCCTTATGGACTAACAGTAAACAGTGATGATCATCCTAAACCAAGTGAATCAAGTGGGATTTTTTTCTTGGTCTTTGGCATTTTGCTATTGTTTCACTGTACGAAATTTCGATTTCCAAGATGATCTTAAACCAAACTACTGTAGAGACGCAAAATAACCTTCTCAGCATTGGAAAATACCCCCTATCGGTATTGTTTCCGTGTCTATGGAAATATTGATGAAAGTTTCATACAGCATGCTGGTGTAATCCTGATCATGTAACATATATCAAGATGATGGCATCTAGATCCATATGAAAACAAACATACAGTCAGGTTATTATATACTATTCATTCTCGCCTCATTCTTGTTTTAAAAAATATGCAGGTGATGGAATTTAGAGTCTTTGACATATCTAGAATGACTCAGCCGTTGAAAGGCCGTGTTGCCTTAACCCCTGGCTCACGTTTAAGATGGATAGGATTCAGTGAGAAAGGCTCTTTCAGCTCATACGATTCTGAGGTATGCATCGTTGCATTCTAGCTAACTCATTTACTACTGCGTTGGCACTCATTTCATATAAAATGCAATACAACAAAAACTTTCCTGCAGGGTGTGTTGAGGGTTTTTACGTGTCAATATGGTGGCTCATGGATCCCAGTCTTCAGGTTTCTTGTCATAAGCTATCTACAATTTCTGACAAGTTTCCATACACATGTTTCCTAAAGGTGTTTTTTTAGTTACTGAATTCATCGTATTTTCAGTACCAGTAAAGAGAAGAAACAAGAAGAAAACTACTGGGTGGTTGGCTTGAATACAACCAGTGTCTACTGTATAGCTTGTAAACACCCTGAGCTTTTCCCAACGGTAATATAGTTGTCGATACTAAGGTTTTTATTATATCCGCAAAAGGATAGGCTGCCTTACCATTCTTCTTCTTTCCATCCCAGGTGACACCAAAACCAATCCTTACCATTTTAGACCTTTCTCTCCCGCTTGCATCCTCAGATTTAGGAGCGACATCTCTCGAAAATGAGTTAATACTAAAACAGCTGCGTTTATACGAGGTTTTTCTTTCTACTTGTTATATCATTTTTTGTTTTTTTGCTGTTATTTCTCCCTTTTTCTGTTTAAGTTTCTTAAGCCAGTGTGATCTGAGTTCTTAGCTACCCGAATGTGTGCGAAACTGTCACAGTTTTTCTTGGGTAAGCAACAGCGATGAATATACCAGGAGTAACCAAACTAGGGACATTCTCATTGCGATATCTGCTGAAACTAGGATCAAATATCGATATATTTGTTCAATTTGAATAATATCGTTTAATCCTAATCTCAGACTCAAAGAAGAGTGGATGATATGACTTTGTCCGGGGTGGACACAACAGCACTTGAAGATGAGGCTTTCGACATCGAAGTTTGTCAAGATAAATGCATACTGAGGCTCATCAGCTCGTGTTGCAGTAGTAAGTCAGTTATTTACATGTGTTCGTGCCCTCTTGTGTGGACTCGGATACTATGAATAATTTGAAATCCATGTAAAGTTATTGCTCAGATTTTTACAAGAATCTTTGCTTCTTTCAGGTGACAAGTTTGAAAGGGCCTGTGAACTTATGAGGCTTTTATCTCTAGAAAAATCAATGAGAGCAGCAATAACACTGGTCACCAAACTCAAGCTTCAATTTTTGGCAGAAAAATTTGGCAGCATACTCGAGGTACTCTACATATACATACTGCCATTGCGTTTTTTTTCTTTCTTTTTGTAACGCTAACTCCTGGTTCTTCACTAACAGGAAAGGTTGCTTGAAGATGCTACCGAGGTGATAACAAATCCTCTGCAGAATCCAAGCAGAGGAGAAGTGGGTACAAGAGCTGAATCCAAGGTCCAGAGACGTCCAGCTTCGTTTCAGACAAGCGAAAACACAGAAGAAGTGCTGAAATCTTCTGCAACTAAGTTATCTGCTCCTACATTTGTAAGGAAAGCAAAAGTTTTAGAAGATCTTAAGCTGGGAAAAGAACAAACAAAGAGAGACGAAACTGAAGATGCGAAGAAAAAAGAGAGAATGAAATTGAATTTGATCAAGAATCCGGTGAACAATGTTTACAGTGAAGAGAAGGGACTGAGGAAGGAAGTGAATCAAGAAGAAGCCCGACGTTCTTCAAACCCGTTCCGGAAATCAACTGTTTAATTATCTTAGTTTGTGGTTTTTACTTTTAAAAAGGTATATGATGAATACATCTGTTTCACTTTATTCAAGTTTATGATTCTGTTGACAAAAAAAAAATGATCATGCAGCTAAACTATTACACAAAGTTGTGAGCCATGATTTGTTTTATTACAATACAACAAGCTGTTAGAAGAATCATCATCGTCAAACACATGGTGAAACAGAGACTAACTGAAAAAAATTCCCCTATCATCCACCTGTTGAAGCTTTCTCGTTCTTCATGATCATATGGAAGGATTTGACTCTGTCTTCCGCCACGATCTCTCTGAGAACGTCATCCTCAATCTTTTCAGCTTGCCACAGAGACGGGTCCTCCACAAATTCTTCGCTGAAAATCATACTCGAGACCCACTCTTTCCACGTTGTCCTCCGGTACTTGTCTTCCTCAAGTGTTCCTCTGGACAAGAGCTGGTAAACGTACACTACTTTCTGCTGTCCCGGTCTAAATGCACGTGCAATTGCTTGCTTTGTTTTAGAAGGATTCCACTCAGAGTCAAGCATGATCACCCGTGAAGCAGCGGTTAGACTGATGCCTTCTGCACAGGCTGTGATCGAAGCCAGCAGAACACGGGATGGGCCTCCAGGTTCTTCAAATTTATCTATCACTCTGCCTCTCTCAAACAGCTCGAGATCCCCTGTCAATGTCAGGAGCTCTCGGCCTCTTTTCCACCTGAAAACATTCTCAAACAGCTCAAGAAACAGGCGGATCGGTGCAATGTTGTGGCAAAAGATGAGGATTTTCTCCTTCTTGACCACTCGGAACACGAGGTTAAGCACAAACATGACTTTCGATCCTTTCTTTGCGTCATGCTTGAGCTTCTCGATCTCAAAAAGCTCTTCAGGGTTAAAGAATTTTGCGCAACAGGTAGAGGTTTTGACCAACCAAGGATGGATAGCTGCTAAGGTTATGAGAAGCTCAAGCTCGAGGGGATATCCATGGTAAGTCGACATTATGTTCTGAAGTTTGGTAAGAGTCTTGTGCTGTATATCTGTGGAATTCATCAACAATGTGTAGATCTGCAAACCCGGAAGAACATCACCACTTCCGCTTCCGCTTCCTTCATAGTTATCGATGAAACCGCTGGTCATATTCCTCAACATGTTGAGACCCTGCAAGCGTTCATCTCCCACTTTTGTGTCAATCTTCTTGGCTATGACATCGAGGAAGAATTTTCGCGCTCTGTTCTCAAGCAAGTGAGGCGCCTTTTGCACGACTTGGTTGGTCTTGAATTTCTGGTCCAACTCCATTAAAACCTCATGAACAAACTTTGGTCTGGCCAGGCACAAAGTGTTGAAGTACTCACAGAAGTTGTTCTGAAACAATGTACCCGAAAGCATAATCCTCAAATCGGTATCAACTTTCATCAAGGCCTTACGTAATCTTGACTTGGTACTCCTCGGGTTATGTCCCTCGTCTAGAACCAGAAGCCCAGGAGACTCCCTCAGTACTTTAGCCATGTATTTTCTATGAGCAAACTTGGAATCTTCCCTCATCAATGTTAGAAACGAAGTGTAACCCATCACAAGAACACTCGGCTGCGCATGCCATTTCTGAATTTTGTCTAAACAGTCAATGACGTGCCTAACATCTTGGCTTGGTTTCGGAACTCCCTTGAACTGAAGTGTGTTCTCTTTGGACACACAGTAGGTTCTACGGCCATGAATCAAGTGAACCGGGACCGGAATTTCCCATTTGATGAACTCCTTGTACCATGTGTACAATGTTGTTTTAGGAGCAAGAACCAAAGGCCTCTTCCCAGGGAATATCTTCAAGTAGCTCGCAAGAAAAGCTATGATCAGAAATGTTTTGCCTGCTCCGGGAGTATGGGAAACCACGCATCCACCTATCTTCTCTGAACTCGGATCCATCATCGCAGGAACAACTGACCCGGCTAGGTTCCTCCAGAGAAACTCGAAAGCTTTTCTCTGGTGCAAATGTAGTTTTCTCCTAAGTTGAGGTATTAGTGACCAAACGTTGTCACTTTCTTCGGCCGAGGGAATTTCAAAGGAAGCAACGGGCATGGTGAAGTTTCGGTTCTCGACTCCATCTTGGTTCACCTTAGTATCAATGTCATCTTCGTTAATCTGCTTAGTCTCAGTGGTCCATTTCTTTTGTTTCGCCTATTGAAAAATCAAATGATTAAACATTATTGGTAAAAACATCGACAGCCAGTATGCAGTTTCCAGAGTTTTGCTTACAAAAGGTGCAGACACATGTTTTATCTCCGTTCCTACATGACCGCACGATCTGCAACACATTCCGATTTCTTCATCCAATTCATAATCATGTTCACAATCACCGGTTGCTTTCTGGAACGCCTCGTTATCCACTCTCACCTGAAAATTTTGAATCCAATATATAAAGAGTTTAATGCAAGTTTAGGAAAATATCAATATATTTCCAAAAGAATATACCTCGTTGTCATCAAGAATGTAAGAAGATGCCAAACATAGTTCCATTTCTCTCCATAACATCTCGTTCTCTGACGTGTCTCCCTCATCATCATTCTCACTCCACCTTTCTTCGGCTTCCATTGAAGCGCTTGTGATGTTCTTTAACTCCTCCCATTGCTCAACAACACTTGTTGCTTCGTTCTTGGCTGCAATTGTAGAATCAATATTACTCATGTATGAATCTATCAGCTTGCTATACGCACCTGCGCTCAATGTTCTCTTCTTATAAATCTGCGGTTCATCAGAATCTCCGGTTTTCCCAGAAACAGACCGTATTCTGGAATGCAGTCCATTTCTTTTTTGGACCGACTTCCCAAGGTTGTCATTCCAACATAGATCAGATTCCATCTCTTCCATTCCCGACTTCTTCTTCTTCCCGTATTTCGCAGCTCTACTACGATACTTATCAATCTCATCCATCAAATGACTTCCGGAGAAACTACCACACAAACTATTTGCATTGAGACCAAATTGTTCCAATGGTATAGGTTCGAACACGGGAGTGAAGGGAATAACCGAAAGCTCACTATGTCGACCAAATCCCAC